AGTGTCTCTCTCTCTCTCTCTCTCTCTCTCTCTCACACACACACACACACACACACACACACACACACACACGCACTAACTCTGCTAGGGCGAGTTCTTTTTACAAAATGGGGTATACAGAAAAAAAGTTTAAAAGTTGTCTTTGACTAAATCACATAAATTTTGTTGAAATATGTGTATATATAATTTTAGTTTTTGATGATGATTTGTGAGAGTTGCTTATTACATGCTATATTTTCTATTTTTTTCCTTTTTTTTTGCCTTTTCTGAATTATTTCAAGCTATGTATCGACTTTTTCCATATTCCAATTTAGATATACTTTTTTCATTATACATACAGTAAATGATGCACACCTACAATCATATATCGTTTACTATTTTAGTTATTTTTAATAATTTTTTGTATTTTGTTTTGTAATTTTTTAGCCCTTTTTGGGCTTGTGTAGGATTTGGGTGAGTTCACTAGGACCCACCTGAGTTACTCGGCTATGGCAGGTGCCGAATCCTGAGCCGAAGCCAAGTTTCTGTACGCGGACCAGAAATATGTAGAGTTCTGGAGTGACCAAACTTCGTGAGATAACTATAGTACCCTAGATTTCTTGAGAGTGTCTCTGTTCTAATGGAAACGATCTTTTTATTTATTGTGAGAATCCCTCATGTAATACATGGGCGTATATCCTTTAAAGAAACATTTTGGTTTGTCAAGTAACTGAAACGACCATGAAATGATCATTGGATTTCTCTTTTTCCAAATTGTTTGTAAACCCTTTGTTTTGATATTAGTCACCATTAATTGTTTGGGGGTGAGTACAAGATGCTTGTCTTTTGTTGGTTGCTAGTCACGAAAGAGCACCTAATTACTGGAAGGTGCAAAACAACAATGATGCTTTCGAAAATTTGCTAAAATTCTTTGGGTTGGATTGCCTTAGGATGCAAAAGTTGGTACAACCACTGGTGTGTCTGCAAAGGACAGGGCGAACACAATTTTGGCTCTTGCATCCCCACATTCTATGCCTCAGGATTTCAACCGGCCTGGTCACATCTTCCCTCTAAAGTACAGGGAAGGTGGTGTCCTGAAAAGAGCTGGGCACACTGAAGCATCTGTGGACCTCTCAGTGCTGGCTGGATTGGACCCTGTTGCTGTCTTGTGTGAAATTGTTGATGAACAAGATGGTTCCATGGCCAGATTGCCGAAGTTGCGGGAGTTTGCAGAGAGAGAAAACCTGAAAATTATATCCATTGCAGACTTGGTCAGGTAACTACTTTTTTATTATGTATTAATTTTGTTCCCCGATTTTCTTGCAGACTTAGGCATCCGTAAAGAAATTTCTTTTTTTACTCAAAAAAAAGATATATATATATATATATATGGAAGCCACTACGGTACGTCTATGGGGGCGAAAATGAATAGTGTTTTCTCCCATAGGCTCGGCGCCGTCCGATTTTTTTGAATGGTGTGGATTAAAGACCATCATGAACATAGCATGTTTGTTGCAGGACTTTTTTCACTCAAATTTGACACAATATGCAGGGATCGCCACGGCCCCCGTAGGTCCGTGGCGGTTTTTAGGCAAAATCGTCACGGACATAGCATGTCCTGTCTGTGATGGGAGCGCAACACTGTAGCAATTTCTAGGTATTTTTAAGACTCTTCCATATATATATATATATATATATATATATATATAT